AGTCTAGGGCGCCGGGGAGAGCACGCGGCCCCTCCTGACGAGCTGCCGGCCGGGGAGGGCGACGCAGCCGTTGGGCGGGCGGAGGAGCGGCGAAACCGCACACACCGCTTCCTCTCCCACCGCCGCCGGCGGGACCCGCCGCCTGCCCCGCAGCCTCCCTCCTTGCAGCTCTGCGAGCCGGAGAGCGCGCGGAGGGGCAGCGGGAAACCTGCCCTCCACCGGCGTCTGCAAACGCAGGCGATGCCAACATTAAACCGGAGGGTTTTTTTTTTCCGGCCACCCCTCATCGAGGGCGATGCAGCTCCTGCGGCCCAGGGGCTGCCAGGGAACCGCACGGGCAGCTCCGTTTCAGGCGGTGCTCCTCTTGGTTTTCTACTCTCCACATCTGCCCTCCCCAAACATACAAAGAAAACATTTCAAGCCGTAAATCTTCGTGTTGGAGTTGAGATTTGGGCAAGTAAGCACTGTGATTTCCAGAACACGCTTTCAGTAATAAACACTGTGGAAACACGAACCTCCGGCACTCACCCCCATCCCCTAGAGGAGCCTGGGGGTTTTTCTTGCTAGGATTACGTTTGTTCATAAAAATATTTTCCAAAATGTTGAATCTGCGCAAACCCTGCAGAGCTAACGGCAGCTGTGGGCTGAGCCCCTGGAAAAATCTGCCTGAGCTTCACACCTCTCCGTGCTATGCATATTTGTACAGTTCACATTTCCGCTCCGATAGAGTAAACTGCATTGTGCAAATGGGCATGATTTACTGTTAGGGTTTTAGGTATTAGCTCACTGTTTTGGAACTTGGCAGCTAAAGAAAAATGACTCCTCCCCTATTCAGCTTTTGCAAGTGTCATTGGAGGTCACCGAAGCTCATTTTCTCTTTGCTCTCCAGTTTCCATCTTGCAGCACCTTTGTGGGATTTGACATCTTTCCTTCCTGCTCCGTTGCACAACAGCACGTCAGAGCAGCACTTCCCAGAGCAGCCCACCTACGAGCCAGGACTAAGACGAGTGGTCATAAGCCTGCGCAGCACGACCGCCCCACGCTCATCCCAACTGCTGCTCGCACCAACATGGTAAAACCTTTCCTTGAGCAAAAGCAGCAACGTGCTGCCCTGCATCCTCCTTCCAAAGGGAGAGCGGGCAGCGCACAGCTTCACGCTTTCGGCGAAGGGCTGCCTTATTTCTGCGGCTGGTGTCAAACGCGTAGCACAGCACCACCACCCCGCGAGCTCCAGCCTCTCCTGCCTCCCTTACACCTGGGGAAGGATGGGAGACAAACCAGCTGGAAAACTTGAAGATGCCAGTTTGAAAGGCAACTGTACCGAGCAGGAAAATCAGAATGAGCCGGATCTGAGTAGACCAAGCCTTGGGACATGACAAACCCCAACATCCCATTTACAGCCCGGTTCATTTGCATGCGCTATAATTGCAGCACGTCATCATCTGTGACTTGACAAAACTTGCCACGCAGCCACAGCCTCCTTTCTTCCCTCGCCCCTTCGAGGGGGGACGGGGAGCGTTCAGGGGGGACGCCGGGCTGGGGCCGTCGGTCTTGCAGCTGCACGCAGCGCTGCGCAAAGGGGACGGGACTGCTGGGCCAGGAAGGACAGCTGCGGTTGCTTGTTCACCCCGGGCCCTGGCTGGGCTACCAGCACCCCGGGGGTCCTGCCTGCCAGAGCACCGAGCCACTGCCCCTCACGGCCAGGGGCGCGCGAGGCCCTGCCAGCGCCCCAGGGCTGCGGAGGGTCACCCGGGCTCAGAGAGCCCAGGCCCACGGGGCCACCTCCTCCTCGCAGCCCATGCACTGAACTGGCAACTTGTACCACCCACCTCTCTCCATGGGTGAAATCGGCTACACCCGCGCAGGAACGGCATAAACGCCAGGGTCTGCAAACACATTAAAAGTAAAACAAGGAGATGAAGCCGGCCAGGCTTTTGGAAGGAGGCGACTCTAACGTTTCTCCTTACAGACAGCCACGTCCCCTGCGCTCCACAAGCCACCGCAATAGTTGAGCCATTTGCCACAAAAGGGGTCGTTTGCGCGTTTGTGAGTGCAAACGGGAGGGTCTGGGGTCAGCTCCGCGCCGCGGCAGACCCAAGTTCCACTTTCAGCCTTCAGGTTACGCTTTGTGCAGTGTTCTGCACGTTTGCAGCGTTTTGCTAACTTCTTGAAAAGACAAGAGCTTTTCAGTCAGTGCATCTCCAAACCACAACGCTTTCTGACAGTTTTACTGTGCTGTCACGTCAGTACGGCGCTGCGCGTGCTCCCCGCGCCGCTGGAAGCTGCCTGCCGCACGATTTACACAGCCGCCGCGCGCTGACAGCGGGAAACTCTCCCCGAGAGCCGTATCTAATATCCCTTCCCGTGCTCCTCCTGGCAGCGTGCTAGGCTGGACTAAACTGGGTCACATACATGACAGAAGAAGGAAACAGAAAACCCGAGCCAGTTTAGTGGGAGACAGAGCAAGCCCCTAGCAAACCTCGGGTTTAAAGCTCACCAGGAGCTGAGGCAGGCAGAGGAACCGGGGACTCCCGGAGCCGGAGGATTTACAGCCAACGGCTGGTGCTGGGGGCTCACTTGGGAGCCCGCAGAACAGTCCAGTTTCCAGAAAACGCTGAACCATCAGGTTTTTGGAGGTGTCTGATATTATTCCTTCCTGACCACCTCATAAAGGCAAGTATTTCCTGTTTCTGTGCCTCAGCTCTGCCTTATGTAAATCGGGGGAAAGCATCTGAACAGGAGCAGAGAGGCTGCACGGCTTACTCGAGTAGAGAGCGACTCCAAGCAAAGGTGTCAAGGAAGAAGTAACAGCATCCACAAGAAGGGGACAACGTCGTTCATCTGAAACACCTATCTGACACAGCGCCTACGAGCGAGGGCTGTGACGACCCCCGGCCCTCCAGGGGCGCGCATCCCCATCCAGGTTTCCATAGCCCAGAAGGCCAGCAGGCACCTTGGGCTCCGGGACCCTTTCCAGCCGGGAAGGAAAGGCTGGGAGAGCCCCTGCCAGCCAATCCCTGCGTCTTCAACCCCATCGTTTACTGCCCTGTCCCAGCCAATGCAGGTGGCAGGATCATCACACGCTTTGCCCCAAGGGTCTGATTTTGTTCAGAGGTGCCACAGGCAAAATTGAAAACCCTCAGCCAGGTTAGTGGGGAGAGATCTCATCAGCGTCGGAAGCCGCAGACCGGGGCTTATTCAACCAGCGCTGTTAGAGCGCACGCCAGCCTCCATCGGCTGGAGCAGGAAGAAAAGTAGCAAGTCTCCAAGCATGAAATTATGAAACAAATAATCAGATAAAGCCCTTCCTACTGCTCACTCAGAGCCTTCCTGCTCTCTGCGGTTTGGCAAGCTCATGGGCAGTGCTCCCACATACCCTCTCGCACAAGCACCTTGCCCATGGTTTTGGGACTCAGGTTCGAGGCTGGCAGCTCACAGCCAGCGAGCCCGCAGGAAAGTCCACGGCGCGAGCAGCCCTGTGCACCTGGGAGGGCTTCCTGGAGCTCCACACCAGCGAGCAGGTCCGGGAGCAGACAAGCGGTGGTTTGGAGTCAATACCCAACGGGGACAGGTCACCTCGCACGTCACTAACGCCTTGGCAGCCCCTCGAGGTCCCAGCACTCGCCCTACTCCTAGCACACATCTTCCCAAAGCACCTTCACCGGCCCGGCCCAGGAGCAGGAGGAGGAGGAGGAGGAAGAGGAAGAGGAAGGGGAGGAAGAAGAAGAGGGCATTTGTGCATTTTACCACTTTCCCCTCTCCTACAGACTTCCCAGCCCCAGCACGGAGACCCGTAACAGCAGCTCCCTGCAGCAGCGCCCGGATGACTAGATACTTGTT